TATACACACGTCTTCTTCTCATGTTCACTCACGTCTGTAAGAATTTGTCGACATCAAAACAAAAACATCAACATATGTACAAAAATGAAAGATATATTCGCTCCTTAGATTCACCGTAATCTTCCACCAATATACATACATGAAGAATTTGCATCTATATGACTAATCACTTCACGGGCGAAATCAGTTTTATGGGGAGCTCCATATGCTGGCAAGGAATTAAATAACCGATCAATCTCTTTAATTCGCAAACATACCTTGCGTCTCACTTAATTAATGATATTTACATCATGTAAGACCGTGTTTGCAAAATTAGGGTAAATTTTACTCCGTGACACAATAAAAATAACATCAAATAATTCCTCAAGGTAAAAAAAAACCCAAAAAAAACGAGAGAGTAACTCAGACCCGATTCATGTATATATTCAAAGTGAATCCCAGCTGTTAACTGCTAATCTAATATGTCTTCCAGAAACGAAGCAAGGTATTAAGAAACAGAAAATTTGGTTAGAAACGAAGAAAAGAGTACTGAACTGTTACGTCAAATCAGTATAAATAATAATTTATGTCAGTAAATGCTGGACAATCTCCTCACAGATGAAGAAGAGACTTGAAGCAACAGAAATTTGATTCTACAGAAGGATGCTGAGAATACCATGGACTGAACATGTGGGCGACGACGAATAGAAGCAAAAAAGACACTTTTACTTAACATCAAGAAGAAACAGTTAAATGTCTATAATGAGGAAAGATTGCTTGGAGAATTTGAAGGGAGAGATTGAAGTCAAGGGGGAAAACAACGCATAACCTACCTGGAGAGTTTGAGTGAAGAGACGGCAGAGCAGAGTTTGGAAGAGAAAGTCAAAAGACACAATTTATTAAGAGCTACAAACGACAAGAAGTTGTGGAGAGACATGACCACCAACGTCACGAAGGAACACGGCACACAGAAGAATACGTCAGAACCATGTATTACATTGATAATTACATTAGTGGCCAGTCAACTGCTTCTTTCGCGATATAAAAGCAGAGATGTTTGGTTGCAGTAACGCAGGAGACATTATAAGAAAACAGAATGGAGAAGAGAAAAGCAGACTATAATGTATAGACTATAATATATAGACTATAATATATAGACTATAATATATAGACTATAATATAAAAGACCCAGTTAACAACAAACAAGAAGAGTCTGTCTATATTTCTGAGATGAGGTATTATGTACAGTATTTACATTAGTCGGACTATTGTCCTCATCTTTGCCGCCATATTTGTCACAACATTTCGGCCGTTGTACGCTCCGGCCTTCTTCAGGTGGTTGGAATTTCGAACTGAACCCTTTATTTCGATCCTCAAGGACACATGGCACAGTGGATAAAGGCGTTGGTTAGATCCAGTGACAGACCCAAAGAAGGTGAGTTCAATACCTTGTTAAGGCAGTGGAGAACTTTCAGAGGGAAAATTAGCAGGAGATAACTGATAACTGACATCCATCAAAACATGGCACGTGGAACTAGAACAGTCTACCCCAGTGATCGAAATAAAGGGTTCAGTTCGAAATTCCAACCACCTGAAGAAGGCTGTGACAAATATGGCGACAAAGATGAGGACAATAGTCCGACTAATGTAAATACTGAACAAACAAGAAATTATCGTGGTATGTTAACAATTACGCGTGTATATTTTCTTGGGTACACAGTAAATTTAGCAGTTAAAAATATTTATAAATGCCTGCTTGATCGCGCGTGCTGGAAAATAGTTAAAATTAAGTTAAATAATTATTATTTTATTTGTTTTAAATGACTAGTTAAGCTGCCACTTTTCAATGACTGGCTCAACTACTGGACAGGTATATAAAACCTTATGTCCTTAATTTATAACTTCAAAACTGTAGCCAGTTAAGTGAGTTTCGTTAACAAAAAAAAGGAGAGTTTAAAGTTTGTATACTGTTTGAGAAAAATCAGTCGAACAGGAAATGCCCTTATAAATTATGTTTCAAAGACCAGTGATTGTAGAACTGTCTGCTGTTTAAACAATTCGATATTAAAACTAGAAAAATATATACAAGAGAATACATGCAGTAATAGTATCCATACATACAGACATACATAGAAGCACACACACACACATATATATATATATATATATATATATATATATATATATATATATATATATATATATATATCTGTGTGTGTCTGTGTGTGTCTGTGTGTGCGTGCGTGGAGTAATTATCATAATATTATGAGATCTACAACCATTAAGTGTTACACTGTTGGCAACCACAACTAAACTATATTTAGCAAAGGAACCGATATTCAGAGAACTTAAAACGATTACGTGGTTACTTATTTTAGTGCGTCATTTTACTTACAATTATCGATATGTGACGCAAACAATAGACAGCGCGTTATTTAAACAAATTAGCCGCAAATAATCAACTGTGTCTTTATTTTTATTTATTTATTTTTTTTTTTTTTTAGCCATCCGTCACTATTATTATTGTAAGACTGCTTTTTACATTTGCACAAGTGGCGAAATAATCATTCTAAGTAACGCGGTTAATCGAAATACGTGTGCAGCCAAATTTGTTGCGTTTAATAAATCTCTCTTTCATTCTTTCGTTCGCTTTCTCTTTCTATACATACACACGCGCACACACACACGCACACACACAAATACACGCACGCATATATATGTTTGTATGTATGTATATGCGCTATGGAAACATTTGGTTTTCATTGACCGAGTAGTCAGTACTGCTTTCGTTTGATGTTTAGAAAAGCTTTCTGTTAAAACATTTTTTTCGGAAATAAATTCAAGTCCATTATCTGCCATGGCGCTTTCTAGTACTGATGAGGATTTCCTTCCTATCTTTTTATTTGAGGTAGTGTAGAATGTTGACACCTTGATTGGGACATTATTTTCTCTTGTAGTTACATGTGCTATCCACTTTAGTTCTTGCTGCTGTTGGTAGTCATCAAGTGGTTTCTGCTATTTGGTACTATCTTTTGTTTGTGATCCTGTAGCGCCAGCCCGCAACGTTCAAAGACGGATAACCTTTGCCAAGGACACTCAGGCCTAACTTACTCAAAGCCTTTGTACACCATTAATCTTCTTAATCTTCCGCTTTTCGAATGAATGAAAATTCAATCTTAACACTTTCCCATTCAAATTATAAAAGGTCATTCAACTTTCCTTACGTGTCGCTCGCATTCAATACCCGTTAAAATCGGGTCGATAACTCCTTTCTAAATACATAGACACCATTTTCATTGCAAATATATAGAAACACACACGCAATGAGAAGTTATCATATTGTTCATTATTATATCCTCACCGTTACGTTCGATCGAATAAAATCACGGATGTATCATATTTGTATATATATGAACCTGGGTATCACTTTTTTTATATATTATCCAGAACCTTTTATACTACATACAGCAAAAATCTCCATTCTCCATCCCCACAACCATTCTCCCACGGGTGGGATGTGGCAAGCCTCATGCGGCTCTACCGCTACTTCCACGAAATACATTCCCTAGTCCCGGCAAGGTTCACTGCTTGAACACGCCATGTCACGTACATAGTAGCGAATCATCCATATTCTCTCCGTATTCCATTGGTGAGAAGTAAGTTCCATTCGAACAGCTTCTTCCGGCGAACCACTGCCCTGTGGATGCGACTCTAAAGATGTTTACGCGATCAGTACAATTAATCTATTCACTAATCGTTATCTCCCTCATATAAAAACAAAAATGGTCTCCTAATATAACCCTCTACCTGGGCCTTGTAAAGGGTGACCCTTACTGTAAAAATAAATGATGTTGGAGATTTGAACAGATTTAATGTCACTTCAGCGTTGATCATTAGAATCTGGTCTGGACACTCAAATACAAGAATTATAAAGAATAGCAAAAGCGAAAGGTGGTGCTAATTGTGGACTGTAATCTATTTTGTTTTTATTTATTTTTATATTATCCAGAACCTTTTATACTACATACAGCAAAAATCTTCATTCTCCACCCCCACAACCATTCTCCCACGGGTGGAATATGACAAGCTTTCCGCTGCTCTACTTCCACGGAAAGTGTTCGGACGAATTATATTCCCTAGTCCCGCCAAGGCAAACCTCCACAGCAAGAACACGTCATGCCACTTACATAGTAGTGAATCACCCATATTTCCGCCGTATTCCATCGGTAAGAAATAAGTTTCACTCGAGCAGCTTCTTCCTGCGAACCACTGCTCTGTGGAATCGACTTCCAAGAAGATGTTTCCCCGATCACTACAACCTTAACTTGTTCATGGCTAGCGTTAACCTTTATCTCCCACCCCTATCCACACGAATTTCCTCCTAACATAACCCTCTATTTAGAGTGACCTCTAAGTGTTGTGAAGGGTGAACATTAATGTATTTTTTTTTTTTTGAAAAAAAAAAAAACGCCTTCTGTTCGTACAACTCAATCACAATCTATACCTCTGTTAAAGTCGATGATTAAGGTAAGATGTTGTTGTCGCGATTGTTTTAATAGGCAAAGGTTGAGTGAGTTGGCCTAGGGCTCAGAGGTTTACGCTCCACTCTATCAAACCTCATGACATGCCAACGACGAGAGATTTTATCGGGATATCTGGCGATGGAATAAGCAGGACAGATATTAGAGGGATGGTGCCTTTGGCAAGGACATTACCGACAAATGGGTACAATAAACCGATGATTCCAACCAAAACACATATATGCACGCACAACCAACCAAACACCCACCCGCACACACATACACACAAACACGTATAGCACAGAGTGACACCAGTTAACTGATATAAATAATATATTCACTTCTGATGAAGTCCACTGTATGGACGCATTAATTAATATATTCATGTCCGCTTCCCCGTATCCAACATAGTAGTTCATAGAGAATAATATAAGAAATTTCCTGATGTCTGCGGTTTTGTCTGTTGTATCATTGCTTGTGGTGATTATATGCTAGACTGGCTTACGGCCATATCATGTTGAAACACCGGTTCTGGTACGACCACCGAAGTTAAGCAACGTCGAGCTTGGTCAGTACCTAGATGGGTGACCGTTTGGGAGCAAGATGCAACCATCACTTCTACTCTAAAAGTTTCTTTTTTCGCACTTTCAGCTTGTGAAACTCTTTTCCGATTTCTTGCTTCCCTCATAACTACAAAGTTCAAAAATGTAAATACAACGTCAATTGTATATCGCCATCTTCTTAAACCCTGTTGGTCTTTTGTCCTCCCTATTCTCAGTTTTATATTTTATTTTCACTCCCTGTAATACCCTAATGGCATTATCACCTTGCTTGGGTGAAATGATTGAAAAAAAAAAAGAAGAAAATCATGGGCTATAAGCTTGGATGTGCGGGTGGTGTAATGGATAAATACTCGGAATAGTTATTCGGAGTGCCGAGTTCCAATTCTACTCGGATTCATTATATTCACTTACGCGCAAATACCCTTGGAAAAGGTATGAATCTACCTTTGCTCCTCCAGCTATAGGTTAATTAGTAAGATTATTATCGGTAAATAATTATCATTGCTTAGAAATTCATACAATCTAAAAACATTATCTGGCTTTAAATAATCTGCAAAAGGTTGATAAACCATAAAAAACAATTTACGCTCTAGCATAGTCTCAAGATTGACAAATATGTGACGATAATTTATCAGATATAATATATTTGATAGCAAGAAACATTGTTTAGATAAACCTGTTAGCTATTTGGGGGTGGGGGTGGCAGAAGCTTTTTTTTAATAGTTATTTTAATGATAATTTCATAAAAGTCTTTTAGTGACCACAGGCCAAAGTGATTACTCCACAACTTTACCATCAACAGTAAATCTGTGTAAAGGAAACAGAAAAGAAATGGTTCACAGATAAATAGCATGGTTGAACAACTTGCCATCCATTAAGAATTTACATAGCACAGAATCAGAAAAAAAAAACCTTGAATCGGATAACGCGTTTCGGATATACGGAAAGAATCTTTCCTGCCAGTAGTCGGTTTTCGATTTCAAGAAAATCTGGTCTCAAATTACACCCCTTAGACCGCAACCATTTATGGAATTTGTTTTAAAAAGATTTTGCGATCGTGTTTAATAAGAAAACATTCAGTTTAAATATGAATTTGGATAATGAATTTAAATATGAATTTGAATAAGAATTTTAAATATGAATTTGAATAAGGATTTTAAATATGAATTTAAATACGAATTTGAATAAGGATTTTAAATATGAATTTAAATATGAATTTAAATATGAATTTTCCATTTTTCCATATGTCTTTCCGAACGGTTGGTTTCATCAAAAGTTCTCCATGATTTATTATTTTATGATAAAAAAATTGTGGCATAAGGCAAAGATCCCATTTCTCGTCTTTTTCCGAAATGCTAGAATAAAAAATGGTAGGTTAAAAAATGGATCCCCAAAATGGCACATTAGAAAACGGAAGTGACAAAGCAACTAGAAAGCCACATTGCTGAGGGGCATTATTATTTCAAGCTAAAAACTTGTTCTGAAACTAAAATAAAATCTGCTCTCTGTCCCATTGTCGGTCATCTCAAAACTATATTGTCTCTTCCCTAAAATGCGCATATAAAAAAGGAAAATTCTTCTTCTTTGTCCCTTCATAATGTTTGTGATGATGGCTCTTCACAACTTCCCATACTTTGCAGCTCTTAGTCATACTTGTCTTTTTACTATCTCTACCATTCCCTTGTTAGATAGGTTACTCTATGTTTCTCACTTTACCTCTTACCTTCTGGATATCCTGTAAGTGTCAAATTCTCCAAGTCCTCTTTCCTCAATATACGTCTTAAAGATTTCAACTATAACTTTTTGGTTATATGTGTAGTGTTCTTGTTTCCATTTTCCTCGCTGCTCACAATGAGCTGTCTATGGTATTCTCAGAGGTCTTTCTTGGCCTGGTGGGGAGGAGTTAAGAATTACATCTCTTTTAGCTACATTCTTCGTAGGAAATTGTCCAGTACTCTTTTCTTTGTTTTCTAACTAGATTTAACCTGTTTTTTTAATACTTTGCTTAACTTTTGGAAGGCATTTTTCGCTATTCCAATGCGCCTTCGGATTTTGGTGTCATATTTTTCGTCATCTTTTGTAATATTTCCCCAGATAGTTACATTTCTATTCTCGGTTCATTTTGACGTCCCCAATTTGTAGCTCGTATGTTGGGCTGTCCCTTTTACTAACGACCATATATTCTTCTTATAATTGATGACTAGGGCTTTCTTATTGCTTTTATTTATTACATTGTCCAGAAGTATCTAAAGTTTCTGAGTTTTGATGTTGCGCCCATCAATAATAAATCTAGCCAAAAGACCCAGTAAGTTAAATCAATCTAGTGAGAAGATGCAGGAGGAGGCACGGTGGAGTCATGGATAGCGGTTCGGATTGAAGAATCGGAGATCCGAGTTCGTCTTCTTTCCTTGAAGATATGGGCAAATAGCAGGACAGACCGGGTTCTATAGCCTTGAATGGCAACCGGTCTACCGCAGAAAGAAATGACCACCTACTGCGGGGGAAAAAATCTGCCTCGTCAGTCATGTATCGAAAGATAAATGATCGCCTAAGCGTGTAAGTGTGTATCACGTATGGTACATAACCGACCGTGAAAAGGACACCTCGGCGTGGAGTAATGATTAGCAAGTTTGTCTCGCTAGATCCCTTACGACTGAAAAGTGAGTTCGTTCCTCACTAGGTGCTCCATACTTTCGGCCTTGTGTCACATCTAAGCTATGCTTAGAAAATAGCCATAACTGATTGATAAGAAGACTCCTTGTCTTATGCCCATTTTTAGTCATGTTAAAACTCTTTTGCTTCTTAGATAACACGTCTGATTGAAAAAAATATAAAAAGAAAAGAGACTATTTGTACATAAACTGCTGTTAACTAATTATACTTCTATAACAAATCTTCGATCCCCAATGAGGGATGGTGGATTTGCACGATAGGCATTGGGACCATAAATTATCTTTTTCTCGTTCATACATTTTTTTATAAAAGTTATTAGGAGGTTCTGGTTTGCTATGTAGTTTCATTGTAAATTGATCTACGGTAGCCAAAACAAAATTTGCTCATACCACGTGATATTTTAAAATATAAGAAAAACATAAAATTCGTAACATGAATTTTTTTTTCATATGTTAATATCGATTAAGCATTCTGCATAAATATTGATGGATTGATTTGCGTTTTATGATTTATCAACCTTTCGCAGGTTATTTAAAGCCAGATAATAACTTTAGATTGTAAGACTTTTTCGAAGATAATAACGATTTTTGATGATACATCGTCTTCTAATTAACCCATAACTTGGAGAAAAGAGGTGGATCCATACCTTTCCCAAGGTTATTTGCGAGTAAGGGAATATAATAAACCCGATTGGAATTGGAACTTGGCTCTCCGACTTCCAGTCCGCCGAGCCATTATCCATTACACCAATCGTACATCCAAGCTTACTGGTATTTTCAAACGCTCATATTTATCTAGGTACTGATCAGGCTCGACGTTGCTTAACTTCGGTGATCGTACGAGTTCACTTTAAGATTTTATTTTTTATTTTAAGAAATCACGTTGTATGATTTATGCATCATATAATTTGTTTTGGCTTCCGTAGGTTAGTTAAATCTATCAGGAATTATGATCTCTTATTAATTTTTATACTGTTGAATAAATCTTTTCTATTTAATATTTGTGATTTCGGGGTGATTTGTCTATAGCAATATATATATATATATATATATATATATATATATATATATATATATATATATATATAAATCTGGTCGTAATGACCGATTGTAAAACTTTAGTAGAGGATTAATACTGCTAACACACTTTTACATAAAACAAGTCTACTTTTACTTTATAACAAGTCTACTTGCCCCAAATAGGATTAACGTCACAGTGTGTCGGAGTAAAACCTACTTTGCATTACTTAAAAGTTTCTTGGATGTCACTTTCTCAGAGGGCAAGGGAAAAAACGCAAATTTGCAAATCAAAAACTGTTTGGTTACTTAAAAACAAACCGGCGAGAAGAGGAATAATCAGAATTTGAAACTAGAACATCAACCTAAATTCTTTGGATCGATTAGAGCTACATAATCTTCCTTAAAAGTTGTATGGCTCTTAGATATGATTTAACCTTTGTCAGTGTCGAGTAAAAGGTCAAAAATGCCACCAGAAAGGATGCAAAAATCAAGTTACACATCTGAGCGTTGGGAGCATCTTTTTTTTCCAGATTGTCGGTGCATTTTTAATCATTGCATTCTAGCAGTCGGAGGGCACCCAATATGAAAACGGATGCAAGTGCATTCGGCCGTTAACAGATTGTGACTAGAAATTTAAACCTTTGGCAAAGTCTTTTAACGAATATCAACGTTTTATAATGTCACCTATGTACCTACAAATATACTAGACATGTGCAAAACTTACCAGCCCTGATCTTTGTAAAATACAAATCGGTATATCTGGCAACAAATATGTTGCGGCCACTGAGAACCGAAACAACTATCAATGGCTTGCCTAAACTAGCGTTCCGTAAACATAGATAGATACGACCAGACAGTGATATATATATATATATATATATATATATATATATATATATATATATATATATATATATATATATATGTGTGTGTGTGTGTGTGTGTGTGTGTGTGTGTGTGTGTGTGTTTTTATATATATATATATATATATATATGTACGTGTGTGTGTGTATATATATATATATATATATATATATATATATATACATGCATACATGCACACAAATATATATATATATATATATATATATATATATATATATATATATATATATATATATATATACACACACAGTATAGAAAGAATAGATAGAGAGAGATAGACGACCAGACATACACAGATAGTATGATAATGAACAACATGTAATAGATAGATAGATAGATAGATAGATAATGAACAACATGT